GGACATGAGCATGGGCGCGTTTCGGCTCCATCGACTCTGGTTCCAATTCATTTAATACAGAAAAACAGTCCCACTTCTGTCTCATCCCTCTTTGCTCTCTGCTGTTGTCAGGCCCATCATTTTGGTCTTAAAATGTGCATATTTCATTTCACAATTTTCTCCATAAATCATTAATAACAGAGAGATGAGGCGTCTTCTTTCCCAGAGGTAGCTCCTACTAGAGTTAACAACAGATTTGATTGACAATGTTGCTAAGCTCCCTCCTCATGCTAAACCTTCAACAGCCTCGGACAGATTGTCTCTTTGGTTGCTTTGATCACCGTTGAAATTCAAATATGGAATTGAGCTCCAAACTCAAGCTATAATTGCAAGCCTCAAATTCATTTGACTGGAGCCAAACTCTGTGGGTAACGTCACTCACTTCTTTATACAGTCTGTTGTCTAGAAACATATCCTAATTCTCTGATTTCCAACATTTGAGAGCATCTGTGATTGGATGTAAGGATGTTGTTTGTAGCACAGTCCAGTTCCACAGTTCTGGACATTGGAGGGTTTGGCTGCTCAGGCAACTTATGAAGACAATGCTGTTTCTTACTCTTGTGATATTTGTTATCTTTAATACTCATAAGTTGACATTTATTTTGATTCAGATGGAGGGTGTGTGCCTCTGATTGGCTAATTCATCAGTCAGTCACATCCTTCAGACTGTGAACTCTGAACAGACCCTTGGTCCTGTGCTCGCTCTACTGTTGATCTGTTTTCTGTTGTATGTCCACAGACAGTGAGATCCAGTCAGAGGGCTTCAGTCTGGAGACATGTCGCAGCATGATCGCTCTCATGGACGTATCCTTCCACAGGCCAAAGAGAAGAGAAAAGCAGGCTCTCTGCTTAGAGGGGAACAGTGGGTTGTGGAGAACATGCAGTGTTCCTCAAGTAGCTTCTAATAGTGATTCTCAAACTGTGGTTCTTGTTCCTCTGGTGATGCTTGGCTGGTTCATTTTCCATTTGCCTGAAATGTTCACCAGTATGGCATTAAACATAATGCTTAAGCTTGTCTCCATGGACTACTGCTTTGCCTGATCTATGTATTAAACTGATATATCTCCATGGACAAAAGGTGACGATGTCACCAGTTAACAGGTCAGATCTGTGGAGAGATGACCCCACTCACAGTACTGTATGTTTTGTTCAGTAAATACCCACAATAAATGGTTCAATGTTGTTGTATGTTCAATGCCATACTCAAGCAGGTCATCAGAAAAGTTCTGTATGGCACACTCCAGTTTGTCACTGGAGAAGGAGAGGCACATGAGCTGTAGTTTCCCTGACAGCGTCACCCTCAGACGGATGGTACGGGGAAACTCAACCTGCAGGAGTTCAAACATCTGTGGAAGAAAATCAAGCAGTGGCAGGTGAAGCCTGACAGGGCCTTTCTGTTTCTCTCTGCATGTTCAAATGAAGTTTTTGGATATTTGCAAAAGTGCAAATATCAAGAGCAAATATCAGCTGTACATGTGTCTGTATCTAGTGTTCACATTCTTGTGATTATAGGTCATCTTTAAGAAGTACGACAAAAACAAGTCATCAAGTATCAGCAGTTTTGAGATGAGGAACGCTGTTAATGAAGCAGGTGAGACATGACCACACACGTCTCTATTTAAACCAGTCAATAAAAGTTCTATATAATGTCTGTGTAACAGCTCCTTTAAAGAAGACACATAGCCTACCTTTTTCAGATAAACTGAAATAACTAAACAGCATTTGAAGTAAGTGAAATCATTATCACAGGTTAGAAAGGCCTAAGGTTGTCTTGAAAAAGCAACAACTTAAAACTCAACTCAAAATATTCTCACTAAATGCTTCACACAGTCTTACCATATACAGTATGACAGACATAGATATGTCATCAGATATAATTCTATAACTATTACCTAACAACCATCATGTTTACAGGGGTCAAATCAACAAGGATTTGATGAATTTGTGCTTGTGCTTCAACTGCCCTTTCATTTTTCATGAAACTGAAATATTGATCACAGGTATTCCACCAAACCAAGTCAGGATTAGACAAACATGAAAACGTGACCTATCTACTTTAAATCCTGCCAAGCCTACTGTCCCCTTCTCACACTCCCCTGTTGTACACTGTAGTATACAGTTGGATACTGTAGTATACTGTTATGTACTGTTTTATACTGTTGTATTCCATTGTATACTATTGTATACAGTTGTATACTATTGTATACAGTTGTATACTGTGTACTACTAGTATTGTATGTGTACAGGGTTCCACCTGAACAACCAGCTGTACAACATCATCGCGCTGCGCTACGCCGATGAGCAGCTCCTCATTGACTTCGACAGCTACATCTGCTGCTTCGTGCGCCTAGAGGGCATGTTCAGTGAGTGCCAGAGAGGGAGGTGGGGGGTGGGGGGGGCTGTTGTCATGACGATAACAACATGTGTCAATGTTCCACTCAGGAGCTTTTCAGGCATTTGACAAAGACGGAGATGGGCTCATCAAACTGAATGTGCTCGAGGTAAGATGTGCTTTTTATTCATATTTCACTCGGGGAATTTAAGTACTAATCTGGAATTGTACATTTGTTGTGGTGGCACCTCTAGCTAAGTGGTAATTCCATTCATTTAACTGAAGAATTTCAGAAAGGTTTTGCAGCTACAATCTGATAAAAAAAAGAAGTGTTACGTTGTGTAAATGTGACCAACAAGTTTATGTGACCAATCAGACAACAGTGATTCTCCAGGAGACTTTAAAACAGCTTTATAATCTCCATAGAACTAACAAGATCAACAGCCCCACAGTGACAATGGCCATGTCCTCAGCAACTTCCTGAATAAATGAATAAAGAAAGAACACATTTTATTGGAATGTGGTTATGTATATCAGTTGAATGCTGTAGGAGCATTTGAAGGCCATAATGTTTAATTCAGGAGGGCCAAATGCTAAAATTTAAAACTGGGACTAAGTCGTGGGCCAAACTAAATATTTATTGAAAAATTTCAACAACATCTGCATGTTTTCTCTTCTTTTGAGATATGTAATGCTAAACCTTATTAAAATAAATAATGTCTCTATAGTCTATCTGTAGCCGGCGGTCAGATCTAATACAAGTTGATATGATCTTGCAGGCCAAATAGAATTATATTGTGGGCCAAATTTGGCCCCTGGGCCTGAGTTTGACATGTCTGGTTTAATTTGTATTTAATGATATTTAATGTCCATTGGTGTCTTTATGTGTGTTTTATCCAAACTAAGCTGACCTGTGCTGTTCCTCTGTAGTGGCTCCAGCTGACCATGTACTCCTGATGGGACTCCTCCTGGACCATCACTCTGTGTGGTCATGACTTCATCTGGACGAAACTTCACCTTTGCTCCTCTAAACCTCTGAATGATCTGTCTCCAAATGTATTCTTCTCCTGCTTCTACTTCTCAAACATAAGCTGTCTAGAATACTCAGTTAAGACATTCTAAACTAGAGATTTGCCTACTTTAAAAAAAAAAAAAAAAAAAATCTGATAATTTGCAGTGAGGTCATTAGTTTCCACAGAGCTGATTAGCCCTGAGCAAACTTTCAAACTTTGAATAGGTGGTGGGTTGAGCTCTACATGTTAATCTGCAGACGGTTCAAAGGTGATTTAGTGCTACGCTCAAAGCAGCTCTGTGCTTAAACACATGTAGTCAATGTTTATCTCTCCTCCTATTGGTCAGCCTGAGTGAGTGACAGGTGGAGTTAGCCATTTTTTTTCTGAGAGTTCACACTCTGAATGGTTTTACTTTTCAAGAGCAATACTAGGCTAGAAGTATAGATATGAAATGTGTATGAACCAGTAGTTAAAGGTGTTAAGATGAACTGTTTTTTAATTATGGTTTTAAAATAAGACATGCAAACGCTGCTAGAAGATGTATTTTAATTGCTGTACAACTGTACACAAAAATGGGAAAAAAACAATGAAAACAAATCATGTGTATTTGCACACGTTCTATACCTGACCCATTTAGTGTGAGACTGTAATATACAGGGGAGCACTGATGCCACTTTACAAAACCAGTATTTCATTTTGAGTACTTATCATTTGTACAAAGGGATTTTGGAGTATAGTCCTCTTACTTTACCATGGCCACACTTTATAGTGGTATCGACACACACTGATCGGTATCGGTGCATCCCTGGTAAAGTATGCTGTTGAAATGTTGGTGACAACAAACAAAGAATAACATTCAGCAAAGAGTAACATTGTTTTGAAAGTTGTAAACTGTTGAATGAACAAATGATTAATAAGCCTAGAGTCTGGAACAAGGCACAGCAGACTATCCTGATGTGAAGGAACGTCACAGTTCACTGTCCGTCTCCACGTGGCTTTTCATATGGGCCGGAAGCCCCTAAAACACAACACAAAGGCTTATTTACAAGAGGCAGATGACATTCAGATCCAAAAAGCCATTTGCAGATACTTTATGCAGTGTTCCCATTTCATATTTGAAAATATACTGGTAGTCTGTATTCAATCTATTTAGTATAAGACAGTGTAATTTAGTGCAACTTTCCAAAGCCACTACTTCAAAGTTATTTTTACTGTTACAGTGGGAAGTAGGGATGGGCATTCGATGAAATTTTCTTAATCGATCATCGGAAGAATTAACGATCGATTATTGATTACTCATTAATGTTTTTATATTAAAATTATCATAATTATGCATAAATAAATTCAACTTTATGACATATAAACTGTAACCACTCTAGAGCCACATCAGCCCGTTTGAGATTATAATGTGTTTAATGCAGATATGCGCAATTCTCACAGAAACGAAACTTAAAACTGCATCGCTAATTTGCATAAACTAAGTGAAGATAAAAATACAGCTCTTATGTGCTGATGGGGTCAACTTCTGTCAGATTAAAAAACATGCCTCAGTGGAATACAGGTTAGTGTGACCATATTTGCGTTTGTCAAAACCAGGACACCGTACGGGGGGAGGGGGGTGGGGACTCGTCATCGACATTACGCGACTCTCACCTGGCAAAACTTTTTCCCTCTGGACACCGAAACATATGTGCTGCTTTGTACACTGTGCACATTAACGTATTCTTAATGATCAATTATCGATTAATTGACTAATCGTGCCCATCCCTAGTGGGAAGTCTAATTAATTTCATAGGATAGCAGGTATCACTTTCTCTGAGCCTTTATGTAAATCAGGTAAAACATTCTTGTACATTAGTAAACAAAGGGACAAGTGTAGTTGTCTGTGTGAAGTACCTGTCTCACTGCGCTCTGTGAGGAGAAGAAGGCAGAGCAGTCCCTCCACCTGCACTTGAATGTCTGCAGGTTGGGGCTGCTGTGGTCACTCACTAAATGGTCAACGAGATGCTCCGCCACACCAAAGATCAGGCCACAGTTCTGCCACTAGAGGGAGACAGACAGGTCAGGTTAACATGCTTTGTGGGAACTTTAGTCATTTCCATGTGACCAACAATATGTTTAACCTAAAGTCTTAACCTAAATCAATCTGAACTTGTCATTGATTTATATATTTATATACAGATTTCTCTATATTTAAATTTAGTTCCCAGAATGCCAACACAAATCTTTGGGTGGGTGAAGCTCAAAAGGCCCTGCAATAACATTTTTATATTTACCTCAAACAAGACATATTGTGCTATTGTCTATAATAGATCAAATCTAACACATCTATGACTAAAACAACTAAAGCTGATTTCGGGGTTGGAAAATTGCAGTGCCCAATGGAATATTAGGAGCTGATTCACAGCCTGTCCTTTATATCGCTGTAAAAGTCATCACAACAAAGCCCCGCGAGCTGTGGGTCCCTCCTATGTACAGCTGCACATCACACTAGAGCAGACCATTTTTAAAATTGTACCAAAATGACTGTGATGCTCCTAAGCCTTACGTATCACCGATTGCAAAAATAAAACTGGGGGTAGATCAGGGCAATGATATATTGAATAAAGATTATTCAAACATGCATGAATCACATCAAACACCTGTCTTGACTGTGAGACAAAATAAAGACTTTACTAAACCAGATTTAAGATGATGAAGTCATTACCCAACAGCGGAAGTTGACAGTGAGGTTAAGTCTGGTGGCGTGGACAGAGCCGTCGTAGCAGCCGGCGTACATCTGAAAGGAGAGGGGGAGTGGTTAGAACATATTCAGACTCTGAAGTGAGACCACATGTAATAAAAGCACACACTCACCACGCTCTTGTGAACGGCCATACACATCACCATGTCACTGTGGCCCCCGTACACTTGCAGTCGGTCATGAGACTTCAGACAGGACAATAAGTGTTCAGTGTTTAAACTACACAACTACACACAAATCTAACTAGGGCCATTTATTTTATTGTTTCATTCACAAGACAACTTTAAACATTGTGGCTTGTCAAAGCCTGATCTCGTCAGATCTCAGAGGCTAAGCAGGTTTAGGCCTGGTTTGTACTTGGGTGGGGAACCACTGGGAACACCAGGTGCCACAATGGGGAGCCAATGACAGAAATTGTTGTTGTGTCCTTAGGCAAGGCAGTTCAATCACATAGTGTAGTATGAGAGTGGTGTGTGTGTTGGTGGTGGTCGGAGGGGCTGCTGGCACAGATTGGCAGTCTCACTTCTGTCCCAGGACAGTTGTGGCTACAATAGTATCTTACCACAACTGAGTGTGGAAAGAATGAAGGATGCACTGTAAAGCGTCTTTGGGTGTCTTGAAAGGTGCTGTATAAAAAATAAAGTCTGAAGAATGCTGTGCAGAAATGGTCTCTGTATTTTTGTTGAGAACAATTGTGAGTTCTAAGCGTTTTCACACCAGTCTGGTCCACTTTCATGCCGGCAAACGAACCAAAATTGGTCTGATTGACGTGCCTCTGTTTCCCGTTAAAACAGCGATGCCTCCAATTAGTTAATTAGTTAATACCGCGGGCCGTCCTCATCTCAAGTGTCATCATGAACTCATAAAACGGTAACATGTAGAACTTTGTACGCACCTCACCGCACATCAGCTTGGAGCAAAAGCTCTGAGTTTGGGTAACAGCAACAGCCAACAGCGCTAAAGAGGAGCACTCACCACAGTCAATCAGGACGGGGCTGGGGTCCGGTCCTTGGTCTTGTGCCGTCCTCTTCGTGCGTTGGTCAGATGGTCCAGAGGCTCCGTCCTCCATGTGCTGATTCTAGACAGTGGCGATTAAGGCCAGTGCTTGATTGACTGGGTCTGAGTTCTCTGGACTACAGGTCCAGGTGGGCTGCTCTGGTCCTCTGTGCTCAAGAACCGCGGCTGGTTTCGAGGTGGTGCAGAGCATCCGAACAGAAGTGTGAGGTCTCGGTCGGCTTGATTTAGTGCGAGTCTGACTGATGGTTTCACATCAACAAAAACGAACTGAACTAAGAGCTTTTGGTTCGTTTGGTGCGCACCAACTACTGTCTGTGTGAAAGCTCCCTACAAAAGAATCCCATTGCCTACTTCCTGTATTTTTGTCTTTTTCTTTACAGTTTTTTTCACAAATTGCCCCTTAAGGGTACACTATGTAATATTTCTAGTGGAGAGTCTGCCACTTGCTTTTTCTAACTTTGTACCTGTAGTTCGTAGACTCGCACCAGTTTGTCCAGGCAGGCGGTGACCATGACATTTCCGAGGATCACGATGGAGGTGACGGCGTGTCCGTGGCCTTTGTAGATCCTCATCAGCTCCCCTGTCTGAGCACAAACACCAATAGGGCAAGACACGTGACTGGAGCCACACTCTAATCCGCCTCAGGGATGAATGTTGACACAATGTGTCACCATATGTGATCCATGTGTTCAAGCTCCTGATTTTCATCAAAAAATGTGAGCGTGACTAACTAAAAAACTGTCAGCTAGACTGTCCCCCTAATGTTATTTGAGAGGGCCTTGTTTAACAGCACAAATCAGCTCACCTGTTGTAGTTCTAAGTCACTTCCTTATTGTTTAAACAAAGCTCTGATTGAAGTCTAAATCTGGGGTGTCAAACTCAAATTCACAGAGGCCAACATCAACTGGGACCAAGTCGTGGGCCAAACTAAATATTTATTGAAAAATTGCAACAACATCTGCATGTTTTCTCTTCTTTGGAGATATGTAATGTTAAACCTTTTCTTATTAAAATAAATGTTTAATAATATTTTTGCTGATGCATTGAATCCAGAACAAGCATAATATATAATAATAACATTTTAAATGAATAATGTCTCTAGTCAATTTGTAGCCAGTGGACCAGCTCTAAACATATTTGATATGATCTGGTGGGCCAAATTAATCCGTGTATCATTCGTTCATTCGTTTTTCAATATAAAACCAAAAATAAGAAAGCGAAAAAAACAACAGTTTTCTTCGTTATTTGTTTCCAAAACCAAAATGAAAAAACGGATAATGATTCGTTTTTTCAGTTTTCGATTTTGTGTTTAAATGAAGAATGGAAAAAACGGCTAACGGCCGTTTCCCGTTTACGTGACTTCCGTGACTGCGATGCCGAACTTTTGCACCGGGTATGGACTAAACTAGGACTGATCCAGGTCCGAGACCAGACCGGAACTAGAGCGGGACCAGAGCGGGACCAGAGCGGGACCGGGGCAGACTCCAAGCTTTGACTCTGAGCCTCCGCGGGGTCCGAGCCTCCGGTCTGGTCTCGGTCTTGTCTCCGTCTTGTTTCTGTCTCAGGCCCCCAGACCCGAGTTTGAAATGTCTGGTTTAAATTAAAAACAGAGCGGTCTTGTCTCTGTCTCAGGCCCCCAGACCCGAGTTTGAAATGTCTGGTTTAAATTAAAAACAGAGCTTCAGACATAGCAGTGCTTATAGTTAGCCTCACACACCCAGGGAACAGTGATGACAGCCTAATGTATACTTATTCTTACAGTATTCTGTAGTATTTATGAGCTGTATTAAACCACAAGGGCAGTCATACTCACGTGTATGTTGTGTGCATGGACAGAGGCGTCACTCGAGCTACTGAACACCAGCTCATTCACCACCTACAGGCAACAGGATTTACTGCTCGATTTCAAACATACATAAATCATCATTAAATTAGCACAATTCAGCTATACTGTATTTTAAAATAAACTGTATGAAAGATTTTGACTTTAAAATTCATAAACATGATCTATCTGTGTCCCCACAAAAAGGAAAAGTAGCTTTTACTGATAACAATTGTAATGCTGATTTATTCTGAATTACAAAAACATGTAACCATGATGAGAACATGTTGTTTATGTTCTAATTTGTTGTTTTAGTTCCAGATGATTATCCAATCAAAATGCATAATAAGCCTCACATGAGTCTCATTTGGTTTGCGAGTTTCAGTACTTAAATCCAGCTGGTTTAAACCTCTCTCTGATCTGAACCCTCACTTAAAGAACTCGCTGTGAATGGACATGAATCAATCATGAATCACTGTTAGTGCAGCCTCTGCAGCTCTGTGAGGCATGGCCTGTCCATATACGTGTAACTTTTCTGATGCCGCCTACTTGTGTCCATGGAGATGTCATTGCTTTGCCTGGAATGTTCTACAGTCTGGCACTAAACTTAGTCATCTTGCTTTTATCCAATTACAAACATGTTTTATTTCTTGAAAAACATTCCAGGTAGAGCATATCTCCATGGAGACAAGCTGGCTGTGGACTCTCCAACCAAAAAGTTACATAGTGTTGTTTTAATTGTTGTTGTGAATAATTCAGTTTAGCATAAAAGAAAATGTTACTAAAACTGTATAAAAATAAAAAAAAATTGTAAAAATGTAGCGTATGTGTAATTTATACTTTTGCGCAGAGCAAGTACATATTTGGCAGCAGTAGTAATTGTAATACCTGTACAGAGTGCATTTTGAACAGTTTCCTTTTGCCTGAGTGCAGCAGTTGTCCAGAGTTGTGTCCAGCACTGACCTTGAGGCAGAGCACAGTCTTGGAGTGGCCCTGGAGCGTGCGCAGGAGTAGGCCGCTCTTGGCGTCCCTCACACTTATGGTGCTGTCATAAGAGCCCACCAGCAGCACCTTGCGGGCCCCTTCCTGAGCAGAGGACAGGCAGCTAATCCCCCGGGGCCCGTGGCACTCAAACACATCCAGCTCCTTCAGGCTCTGCACAGACATAAGGACAGTGACAGGGCATCTGGTACAACTAGAGACTAGTGTCAAGTGTTATGTAAGCAGCTGGTAAAAGTGCAGAGCTTCTGGGTTGGGGTCCTAGTGAGGAGTATTAGGAATTAAAGCCAATACAATGTACTTAAAATAATTTTCCAGGACATTTCCAGAACAATTATGTAAACATGGTGTCTACAAACAAATTATTATAAAAACTGTATACAAAATGGCGTAAAGATGTGTTCTTACTTGAAGTCCATAATTACAGTGAATTAATCACACACCAAAGCAAACACACTACAAAAATATTTTCATGTGAAATTCAAATTTAGACAGAAAACACACGTGAACCCAATCATATGTAACTGAGTACTGGTGAATCTAGTGTTGGACTAACAACACAGAGCATTTCCTGGATTTTTTTTTTAGGAGGTTTTAAAAACCTGACTGCTCTAATAGGTGGCAGTAAAAGTCTACTCAGTTTATATCCAGTGATGCAGCAAAGCAAAGTGTGAAGACATTTTCAATGACAAAATAGACATCCAGGACATGTGTTTTTCTTTTCTAATTTTCTATGTGTTTTCCCTTTTTGGAAAACAGGGCAATTATTTTCAAAATTTCCAGGATGTGTAGGAGCCCTGATAAAACAGTATTCTGATATAAGTGTGTATGAGAGTCATCTGTGTACGAAGCAGATGAGGTACAACACAATCCCAAACTCTATTCAAATTTTCAGTTAACCAGTTAAATAAACGGTTAGCTCAGTTAATACAGTTCAGTATTCTGACTGAGTCTGATCATTGGATTCACCAGTAGTGGCCCAGCAGCTTATCAGGTTGTTCCATGGCTTTTTTGTTTACTGGTGGTCCAATGAGATTTATTTAGTCTTCTGACCATTCTTCTTATTAGGTTCTTTTTCAGACCAAGAGTTTGTTTTCATACCTGGCAGTTTGGACTGCTGACTAGTGGTTTTCCTCAGAGAGGTCATGTGATATGAGCAGTCAAAACTGTCAGGAATGAAAACAACCTCTTGGCCTGAAAAAAAAAAAAAAAAACTACCATTGTTTACTGGTGGTTTTTGCTAATGCATCTCTATGGACTTCTTGTCACATATGGATTGTTGTTTTGGTGTTCTATCCTTCAGTCAAATGACTGTAGTGTATATATTTAGTTTTGCTTCTGAAATGATTGTAGACAATCGTAAATAAACTAGCTTTGTTATACAAAACACAGTCTACCATCAGGTCAAAGCTGGAGACGGAGCCGTTGGCCAGGCCTACGTACAGGATGTTCCAGGCCATATGCAGACAGAGCACGCGGTCAGGCACGGACAGCTGTGAGAGGCACCTCCTTGTCTGAAACACACCACATGTTTAAGGAGATGTTAGCTAGAAAAGATACTAATTTTATCAAACACCACTATAAAAAGATCCTGTCAGGTAGAGCGTGTGCACCTGAGTAGGCCCTGTCAGAGCCCGTACCTGGGTGCTGAAGCAGCGGATGGTTTGGTCACTGGAGCCCGTGAAAAGCTTTGGAGGCAGGTTAAAACAGCCGTTACCAGAAGACAGTTGACTTTATTGGAGTGGCCTTCAAACACTCCCACACAATCTTTTGTCTGGGAAGAAGGAACAAAAATAAGCAACCTTTATTTTATTATTAAAGATCTATTGACAGTATTCTCTCATTAGATACTGTTGCCATCTGTAAACTGATATGGTATTGCCTCACAAACAAGGCTTTCATGCTTCAGTGTTCGAGTTGCTGCACTGAAGTGTCACACAGAGCCTGGTGCAAGTGTTCTGGAGGTGGACCTACATGCAGGTTATAGGCTCGTGCTGTGTGGTCTCCAGAGCAGGTGTACAGCAGACCATCATAGATCTGTAGAGCGGTCACTGGACCAGAGTGCTTCTCAAAGGCTCCCACACAGGGCTCCTCCTCCTTCATAGGTCCTGCAGGACAAACAAGAACACTCAAGTACAGTTTCATATAACGTGCAGTAAAAAGCATTTCTGACAGTGAGAGTGCACAGCTTACTGTGGGGTGAACTGGTGTCAGTTTTTGGCAAAGCTGCAGCTTCAACATTCCTGAAATACAAGAACATTTGTAAAAGAAGGAAAAATATCAACTGATGCGATAGAAAAGATAAGAGAAAGCTTTCATCTTGTCAAAGTGTTTTGTGCAGAATGACAAGAATCTTTAGATAGTTATTACAATGCAAAACCTTTATAAAGATTATTTATAGTAATTTTGGATGTTTTGAACCTACTTCCACCAAATATCTTTTGTATAATGGATTAATACATTTATTGAAAATGTTTGCAGCCAAAATGACTGCTCCAGACTCACTATAGTGTCACTGGGACACTATAGAGCAGTGGGTCCCAAACTTTTAGTCGTCACATACCCCCTGAGACTTTGATGACTAATCAGATACCCCTATTCTGAACACAATATCTAATCTAACAGTAATAATATTTGAAAGGATATTAAAACATGTGTAGTTCATGTGCAATTCAAATAATCCAAAATCTTATAAAATTTAAACAAGGACCCAATCTTACTACTCCAAATGTCCAAAATGCCATGGACCTGGCACAAGTTTAACAGTTAACACTATCAGAGCCTGATCCGGGGCACTTGGTTCCATGACGCGAGCAAATAGCCACATCGGACCACAACGCACACCTCATTTGACCATCTCAATCACTCATCTCTGCCTACCTAGCTCAGGGCGCTCTCTCTGCCCAGCTCAGGGCACTCTCGAGGTGCTCTCTCTGCTCAGCTCGAGGTGCTCTCTCTGCTTAGCTCGAGACGCTCTCCCGGCCCGGCTCGAGGCACTCTCTCTGCCCGGCTTGAGACACTCTCTCTGCCTGGCTAGAGGTGCTCTTTCTGCCCAGCTAGAGGTGCTCTTTCTGCCCAGGTTGGAGCTTACCTCCCGGAACTGAAGTTAGCCTCTCTAATCAGCAAAAAACCCAAATGCAACTACCTGGGTTCTGGGTGGAGGCATGTAAGATACATTTACAACAGCAAAAAGAGCTTCCTTGAATGTAATCTAATAAATGTTATCTAGATATGAGAAATATTTTTGACACAACTGCCAATATTTTTAATACCACTTGAAATTAAAGGGAATGCTTTTTAATTTTTTTTTAAGTCTTCATTTGAACAGAATCCATTTAATGATTTTTAATGCTTTTTAATGCCGTGGAAACCCTGTTTGTGGAGGTAGCACATCACCTGCATGATTCCAGGGAAAGTTAAACAAGGCTTAACCCCCTTCACATGCAAATAGTAAATGTAGAGTTTACCATTTGATTGGTGCATTCCTATCCAAGAAAAAAATTATTTGATAGCCCAACAGATTCTGACATCAGTCAAATCAGCTCTGATACAATAAAAAATTGCTGGTTCGCTCATCGGCTTCCTAATAACAAGTCAGATTATATCCTAGTTGGGCCAGAAAAAATATGTAATAAGACTATTTACCGGTCATAGTTGGACCAACAAGTCTTACAATATTTGAACTTTTATTTATACAAAGTTGTTCTTTAGTTACTTGAGATAAATCATAGCTACATAAAACTTTTGGATCAGTTTTGTTTGAAGGAAATAAATGCTTCAGTCTGGACTGGAATAGGCTGATATTGTTTATCCTCTGATAGTAAGACTATAGCATCGAAATCGATATTGGAAGTGAAAATCCAGGAGGGGTGTTTCCCTAATCTAAGCCTGTCCAGAAAATAGAAATCAAACATTAGACATAAGGCTACATTATCACTGAAAAATGTGTGAGCTCACCTGTGCTCCTGTGTCTGTGTGACTGGGCTGCCTGGTGAACCTCCGTCCACAATCTCCTCTTTTGGGGCTAATGCCACTGAACCTGCACCCTCATCACCTTCCTCTTCCTCCACTTTCACCGCACTTGATCTGTTCTGCTCCTCCTCATTATTAGTCTCATCCAGGTTTATCACCACACTGGGACAAGGTTCCATTACCTCCAAATCATCACTGTCGTCACCATCTTCTACCAGAGGGGGCGCTCTTTCAGACGTGTCCCTTGTCTCTTCAGTTGTCATTGCTGCTCGTCTTGTTTCAGAATCACATTGAACAAGGGGAAGCTGTGACTGAGTCCGGATATTCAACACTGGTGGGTTTTGTAGAGGTACCTGATTTGTTAAGGCAATAGGTGTAGTAGTAGTAGTAGTAGTAGGAGTAGTAGCAGCAGCAGCAGTAGTAGTAGTAGTAGTATTGGGTATTGGTTGTGGTGAATCTGAAGCTGAGAGCAGATGAACTGGCGTATCCACATTTGCAGTTGTATTTTGAACATTTAGGAGTGTGTGATAGGTTTTTTGCTTGGCTTGAGCCGGGTGGCACTGGCTGCTGGTAGGGACGGGTGGAGCAGTAAAAGGCGCGGGTAAAGCTGGATGGACAGATTTGGCAGAAGTGGCAGGTGCAGCAGGAGGGACAGGAGCACATGGTTCTATGTTTGAGATGTTACACAGTCCTTCTGAAAAAGGGAAAACAGTTGATTTTTGATTTAGTTTTACAAAAGTTTCAGGGTTGCTACAGTGGAGTATAATCTTGTTATTTTGCCTTTGGTAAATAAAGCAGTCATTTTTCATTGCAAAAAATGTTTGGTTTAGTGTTAAATAGATCAAAATAAGACTTGATTTTGATAATGCTAATAAGGAAAAGGCTTGATTATCCATACAATTACTGGTACCAGAACATTATTTTTTTATACCATGGAATGGAACACAAATTAATTTTTCATGCAATATATATACTATTGGTCAAAAGTTTTGGAACATCACACTTTTTTACCGTTTCCTGTTGACCAAAACATATTCTAAACTTTAGATTGATGTGTGTGTCCACCTTTGGCAGATATAACAGCTGCACACACTCATGGCTCGTTCTTTTTACAACAGAAATCAAATATTGTTCAGAAACTTCTTCCCAAGTCTGTTGCAGAAGTTCCATAAATGTGTGGCACTTGTAGGTCGCTTCACTCTTCTGTCCAGTTCATCCCAAACCAGCTCCATGGGGTTTAAGTCTGGACACTGCGCTGCTGGACACTCCAAGGTTTTCAAGCTTTACCATCTTGTTATTTTTTCCTGAGGTAGTTTTGGCAGAGCTTGTAGAGCTTGGACTTGTGTTTTGTATCTTTTATGTTGTTTTTTTTTTTTTTTTCTACCTCTGTCTGTTCTGTTCTGTTTACCTTTGTACCATTTCAAGCAACTCATTGGACTTGCACAACTTGAATTGCAATAAATATTATGGTGTTCTAAAACTTTTGACCGGTAATGTATAAATGAGTTTAAGTTCAAAGTATTTGAATTAACCCAAGATATTCTTCTGTGTTTACCTCTCATTGTACGCAAGATTTCAATGCGCTGAGCTCTGAGACTGTTCACTTCAGCAACACACTGTAAAAAGACAACATCACAGGACATGCACTTTAACAGAGCAGACACATGAGGAGGACAGTGACAGGTGACTGGTGACTGAGGAGGAGTGTGTGTGACAGGTGATTTAGGAGGAGTGTGTGTGACAGGTGACTGAGGAGGAGTGCATGTGACAGGTGATGTAGGAGGACAGTGCACAGACCTTCTCCTTGAGGATGAGGTAGGTCTGCAGGGTGTTGCGCGTCTGGACTATGGCCTTGTCCAACTCCTGTAGCTGGAGACTCAAGTCCTCCTCCATCAGAGACACAGAGTACAGCCGGTCCAATGAAGACTGATCTGTGGGACAGAGAGGACAGGACAGCCAGGTCAGCCAGGAGACCATTCAGCCTGTTATGGATTCAGCTACAGCTACAAATGAAAATGAAAAATGGCTGAAAGATAAGTTCAGTTTCAAAGGCTTTACTGAAAAGATGCTGCTAGAGTCAAATAATTCATTTTATGTTAAAACTCGAGTTGTTCTCTTGACTAGTTAATAACAGTCAGTTTATAACTGTCTGACAGCGCAGTCTTCTTCATCTGAGTTTCTCAAAGACATTTGTCTAGGGTATTTCAGTTCTTTTTAGAGAACCGGCTCTTTTGGCTCGGCTCACTAAAAGCAGCCGGCTCTTTCGGCTCCCAAGCGGCTCTTCAGGTTGTTTAGTTGCAAGCAGGACTCAAGCAGTACTAAACCAGAACTGAACCAAGACTAAACCAGGACTAAAACAGATCTAAACCATGTGTAAAACAGGACTAAAGCAGAACTGAATCAGGACTGATTGTCAGGACTCAGTCTCTATCCCTCTCTCCCTCTCTCGAGCCCAAGATTAGTCCTGGTTTATTTATTTTATGCTGAACTACAACCAAATATGCAATTTTTTTCTCTCCTATGCACATGATGCACAGATTTCTGGAAGTTTAGTTTTCAGCCGCTGCCGCTGTCAAACTGCCACGAGTCTGCATGCGACGTGAAGAGAAAAACAGTGAGAGAAAGAGAAAACACGGCTCCCAATAAGGAGCAGGCTCTCGTTGTTTGCTTCAAAGAGCCGGCTTTTTTGTTTTTTATTATATCGTGGTATCCAAATCAGTATTGACCATCTATTCTTAATATTGGAATAGAGTTTGAAACTGTATTTAATAGAAAACTTCTATCACTGTCTTTTTTCCAATAGCAGACAGAATATTGAGCCACAGAATCAATGCGGTGAGTTTGTTAACCCAATCCTTCTTTCCCTGACTTTAAGCAGGTCCAACATTTGACTTCCTAAAATTCTTTCTAAAATTGTGTTTCAAAGCAAAACTGACCTCTGTGATTTTTGATATACAATTCAAAAACATACATGCATACATCTCTGACATTTTTATCACATTTACCTGCATTTTGAGATATCGTGGTCTTCTTCAAACTGGGACCTGGTTCACAACACTGGATGGATACATGTCACAGAAAAGTAAGATATTACTGAAAAGATGCTACATACACACAGAGATCTATATGGACTGAACATTTGAAATTAAGGTCAGATGGAGCAAAGGATGCAGATGAGAGGGTCAGAGGATGCAGTGGAGGCAGGAGAGGGTTAGAGGATGCAGAGGAGAGGCTTAGAGGAGGCAGGAGAGGGTCAGAGGATGCAGAGGAGGCAGGAGAGGGTTAGAGGATGCCATGGAGGAGTCCTCACCACATGGGCCTGCTTCCTCTTCTTACTCCTTTTGTTCCCTTTCTCTTCTCCATCTCCTAGCACATCCATCGTGACCTGGAGTAGCCCTGGGGTGGGATCTGTGCTGGAGGAAAAGGCCGACAGGGGCTTGGCTGACAGGGGCTGGGCCGACAGGGTCAGGAGCTCTCCCTCTGACAACGGAGACACAGCGCCCTCTGGATGTGAAAAAGTGGCTTGTGCAGGAGGAGGAGGTCTGGACAGCTCTATGCCAAACCTGAAAAAATGGCCAGTAGGGCTGTGTCAAAAGTCGAAAGATTGACAGATCGCGATCTCTACTTTGGTCGATCTCGATTATAAGGCAGGCACATTTTAAATCGACAGGTCTACAGCCAATCATGTGGCAGTAAGAGCATAAAGTGCATAAAGGATTTACGCACTCTTGTTCACTTGTTCAAGAAAAAATAAAATAAAATCGCCTGAGCCACAGTGGGTCCCTTTGTTGCTGCACAAATTCACAGATTTTGATTTAAATCTGCACAATTTGACTAAAATTCCAATCTCAATGGCTCCACTGCATGTGTATTTCACCCTACACAAGCGTAAAAACTGGAGCTTTTGGACACGTAACTTTTAGAATGCATGAAAAGTGAATGAGGGCTAAGATAAGATATACAGTCCAAGCCCAAAATTATTCATACCCCTGACAAATTTTGACTTAGTTACTTTTATTCAACCAGCAAGTTTTTCTTGATTGGAAATGACACACGTGTCCCCCAGAAGATAATAAGACAATGTACAAAAGGCATCATTGTGGAAAAAAAATATTTCTCAGCTTTTATTTACATTTCAATGAAAAGTGGCATGTCCAGAATTATTCATACCCTTCTCGATAATCAATAGAAAAGCCTTTATTGGCTATTACAAGCAATCCAACCCTTCCTATAATTGCTGACCAGTTTTTTGCACGTCTCCACTGATATTTTGGCCAAGTCATCATTAGCGGTGAGCTCCAGAGCTTTCAGATTGGAGGGTCTCTTTGACATCACCCTGATCTTTAGCTCCCTCCACAGATTCTCAGTTGGATTCAAGTCAGGAATGCAAAACGGTAATGTTGCTGTCTAATAACCATTTCTTCACCACTTTTGCACTGTGCTTTGGGTCATTGTCATGCTGAAATGTCCACTGGTGCCCAAGTCCAAGTTCCTCTGTAGGCTGCTTGATGTTGTTGTTGAGAATCTTGATCTATAGCTCTTTGTTCATGGTGCCTTTTACTGTGATTAGACTCCCTGGCTCATGGGCTGAAAAACATCTCCAAAGGATTAGGTTCCCACATCATGTTTGACAGTGGGGATGATGTTCTTAGGGTTGAAGGCTTTTCCTTTTTTACGCCAAATCATCAATACATCATTGTGGCCAAACACAATTTTTGTTTCGTTTGACCATAAAACAAAAGACCAGAAGTCTTCTTCTTTGTCCAGATGAGCATTTCAAAGGTTAAATGGGCTTTTGTGTGCCTTATCTGGAGAAGTGGCGTCCTCCTTGGTCTGCGTCAGTGGAACCCAGCAGTATGTAGTGTCTGTTGGATAGTCTGCCTTGAGATGTTGGCACCAGCTGAGCCCAGATTCACCTGGATGGCCTTGGTGGTGATCTGTGGATTCTTTTTCACCTCTCTCACAATCCTCCTGGCCAGCACAGGTGTCACTTTTGGCTTCCGACCACGTCCTCTGAGATTTTCCACTGTGTCTTGGAATGTCTTGTATTTTTTTATAATTCTTTGCACTGTAGCCACTGGAACTTGAAAACATTTAGATATGGCCTTATAGCCCTTTCCTGACTTGTGAGCAGCCACAATACCCAGCAGCAGATCCTCAGAGAGCTCCTTTGTCTTAGCCATCACTGTTCACAAACCAACTGCAAAGACCTGCTGTTTTTCACCTGTTCAGTTGCTTAAAACAGCTCTTCTCAATGAATCAGGGGAATTGGGAAGTTTTAGACCAGCTTGTGCTGTTTGGAATGGTATAGAACACAGGTGTCAAACATAAGGCCCGGGAGCCAGATCCGGCCCTCCAAGACCTTTAATCTGGCCCTCGGCTGATTTTATTTAATTCTATTTTCTATTAAAATATTGTTAATTTTCTGAGGTGTTTATCACAGCAGCGTCTCCAGTGTCTCTGTACGTGGCCCCTCCCACCAGAACAGCACAAATGAAGACTTGTCTCTTTCCAAATGCTCTTAAAGGACGATCGTTTTGACTGTTGACCGTGACACCCTCATCAGAAAAATGTAAAAAATGAGAAAAGCCGGGTGGAGCCGAGTGCAGGATTTTCCAAGAAAAATTGACTTATTCCTATTTGCATACAAGTTCATGTTAAAACATTTTGTTGAAATTTTATTTTTCTTAAAATTTCAGGTTGTTCATAATAATATTTTGTAAAAGAAAGAGTTCATCAATTTTAAAAGATTTCTGTAATAGATTTGCGTTTCTCTGCACAAATATTTGAACTTATTGTTATTTTTTTGGGTTTATATGCCATGGGTTTTCTGATCCGGCCCCATTAGGATCAAAGTAGGTTGGATACGGACCCCGGACCAAAATAAGTTTGACACCCCTGGATTTTTCCATAGACTCTGACAGGTTTGCAAAGGGTATGAATAATTTTGGACATGCCATTTTTTGTTCAAATGTAAATAAAAGCTGAGAAATAATTTTTTCCACAATGACACCTCTTGTACATTGTCTTATTATCTTCTGGGAGACGCCTGTATCATTTCCAATCAAGAAAAAACTTGCTGGTTGAATAAAAGTAACATTAAGTCAAAATTTGTCAGGAGTATGAATAATTTTGGGCTTGACTAAAAGATAAGATCATGGCCCGAATAAACACAAGACAACCCCAATGCCGGTTACAGAGGTTAAGTCAAGTACCATCTGAAAGTCTCCTAGAAGATGTGAATGCAGCACTGAGAGTGATCCCTACCACAACCATCACTGAAACCAATGAGCTGATCTACACTTCAGCAGCAGTGATCCTAGAGGTGCTGGGCTATAAGGGCAACCATGAGAGCCATGAGATACAATACCCACCATGGAAAAGATGGCTAGAGGCTAAAATCAAGGAGGCGCGGAGAGAAGTAAGCCAACTGTCAGAGGCCCAGAAAGGTGCAATGAAAAAGCAAGTGCCCAAGAGGTACAACCAGATACCCGACCTGAAGCACTCGAAACTGACAAACAAAGCCTCCAAGCCTTGGCCAGCCGCCTAAAGAGGTACACACGAGTAAATGAAGCCAGATGATTAAACTGGCTGTTTGCAACACAACCTGTGAAAGTGTACACTCAGTGGCTGGGTAATAACACCAGAGCAGACCCATCAAGGCTGGAGACTGAAAAGTACTGGAAAGGCATATGGGAAAGGGAGGCATCACATAACACTGATGCACAGTGGCTGGTGGATCTGAGAGAAAACCACAGCAACCTCCCTGAACAGAATCCAGTCACTATTACAGCGGCAGACATCCAGGAAAGAGTCTCAGGTATGAAAAACTGGACCGCACAAGGCCCTGACATGATCCACGCATACTGGCTAAAGCAACTCACTGCTCTCCTCAAGCGCATAGCACCACAAATGAACCAGCTGCTAAAGGATGGGACTCACCCTGAAAGGCTAACCTAAGGGCGTACGATCCTCATTCTGAAGGATCCCTCAAAGGTTGCAGTCCCATCCAAGTATCGGCCAATAACCTGTCTCTCCACAACATGGAAGCTCGTGTCAGGAACCATCACAGCCAAGATAAGCAGGCACATTGATCAATACATGAGCGCAGCACAGAAGGGCATCTGCAAAAACACCAGGAGAGACAAACACCAACTCCTGGTTGACTGAACAGTCGCCCGTGACTGCAGAACCTGTAAGACCAACCTGTGCACAGCCTGGATTGTTTACAAGAAAGCCTCTGACTCAGTGCCACACACATGGATCAATGAGAGCTTGGAGCTGTACAATATCAACAGGACTCTAAGAGCCTTCATTGCAAACTCGATGCGGTTGTGGAAACCCACGCTTGAAGCCAATGGGAAGCCACTTGCATAAGTGTCCATCAAATTAGGTTAGGTTAGGTTGCTTTATTCATACCCGTAGGTAAATTTGCTTTGCAGATTTAAGAGACAGGTTCCACATTTCATATTTCATTCATCCACAAAACACACATAAAAACACAATAAAGTGTTACAATAAAGTGTTACAGTGCTCCAGTGCAGAATGGTTTGTTCCATAAACAACCAATTAAAATAATCCAACACGCTTGTCTAAAATCACAATAAATAAATCTTAAATATGTTAAAAACACACAATCTTAGATAAATAGATTACAATTTATTCATAAGTATGATAACAGCCGGAACGAAGCTCCTCTTAAAACGATTCGTTCTAGATCTTGGGACTAAACACCTCTGACCAGAGGGAAGCAGCTGAAACTCTGAGTTTAGTGGATGTTGCACGTCTCCCAAAATACTCTGGGACATCCTCTGTAAGTGTCTCGAGTACAGAAAGTCCAGGCTGCTCTGAGGATAGCCAATCACCTTACTCGCCCATTTAACCAACTGATTCAGGGATTCTTGTTTTTAGCAGAAATGTTCCCAAACCACGAGACCAATGAAAACGTTAAAATTGATTCCATAAATGTTTTATAAAACACTGTCATCATGGTTCTGTCTACACGGTAAAAGGACAACTTTCTCAGACAGTGAAGGCGCTGGTGGCCTTTTTTACACACACCAGAACAATTATCGTCAAAACTCAATTTTGAATCAATGAGTGTTCCAAGATATTTATATGAGTCCACACACTCAACTGACTGCCCCTTTATCTCTGTGACATCACACTGAGGCGCTTGTTTTCGAAAGTCGATAATCATATCCTTCGTTTTGGATACATTTAGGTGTAGATTTGACTCTTCACACCATTTTACAAAATCCTCAACAATTGGCCCATGTTGGTTTTCATTTTTGTGAAGCAAGCTCACAATGACAGAATCATCCGCATATTTTATTATTGTTCTATTCTCATAGGTGCTCTGACACTTATTGGTGTAGAGTATGAACAATAGGGATGAAAGAACGCATCCCTGCGGTGATCCGTTTGATGACACCATCTGGTCAGAAAGAACACCATTCACTCTTACTCTTTGTGTTCTCTGTGTTAAAAAAAATCAAGAATCCACAATATTAAAATCAAGGCTAAAATGTTCGAAAAGTCTTTTACAAAGAATATGAGGTTG